AACTGGAATTCCATCACCTCCACTAGCTTTGTTCATAGTGATGCTTCCTAAGGCCCACTTGACTTCACATTCCAGGATGTCTGTCTCTAGGTGAGTGTGAGTGATCCAATCATTATGATTATCTGGGTCATGAAGACCATTTTTGTACAGTTCTTCTGTGTATTCTTGCCACCTCTGCTTAATATCTTCTGCTTCTGTTAGGTCTATACCATCCTGTCCTTTATTGAGCCCATCTTTGCATGAAATGATCCCTTGGTTTCTCTAATTTTCTTGAAGAGATCTCTAGTCTTTCCCATTCTATTGTTTTCCTCCATTTCTTTGCATTGATCACTGAGGAAGGCTTTGTTATCTCTCCTTGCTATTCTTTGGAATTATGCATTCAAATGAGTATATCTTTCCTTTTCTCCTTTGCTTTTCACTTCTCTCATTTTGACAGCTATTTGTAAGGCCTCCTCAGACAGCCATTGTGCTTTTTTTGCGTTTCTTTTTCTTGGGGATGGTCTTGATTCCTGTCTCCTGTACAGTATCACAAACTTCTGTCCATAGTTCATCAGGCACTCTATCTATCAGATCTAGTCCCTTAAATCTATTTGTCATTTCCACTGTATAATCATAAGGGATTTGATTTAGGTCATACCTGAATGGTCTAGTGGTTTTCCCTACTTTCTTCAATTTAAGTCTGAATTGCCAATAAGGAGTTCACTATCTGAGCCACAGTCAGCTCCCAGTCTTGTTTTTGCTGACTGTACAGAGCTTCTCTGTCTTTGGCTGCAAAGAATATAATCAATCTGATTTTGGTGTTGGCCAAAATTTTGGTTATGTCCATGTGTAGAGTCTTCTCTTATGTTGTTGGAAGAGGGTGTTTGCTATGACCAGTGAGTTCTCTTGGCAGAACTCTATTAGCCTTTGCCCTGCTTCATTCTGTACCCCAAGGCCAAATTTGCCTGTTACTCCAGGTGTTTCTTGACTTCCTACTTTTGCATTCCATTCGCCTATAATGAAAAGGACATCTTTTTTTGGTGTCAGCTCTCAAAGGTCTTGTAGGTCTTCATAGAACCATTCAACTTCAGCTTCTTCAGCTTTACTGGTCAGGGCATAGACTTAGATTACCATGATATTGAATGGTTTGCCTTGGAAATGAACAGAGAATGTTCTGTCATTTTTGAAATTGCATCCAACTACTGCATTTTGGACTCTTTTGTTGACTATGACGTTGGATCATCGAAAAAGCAAGAGAGTTTGAGATAAACATCTACTTCTGTTTTATTGACTATGCCAAGGGATTTGATTTGTGGATCACAACAAACTGTGGAACATTCTTAAAGAGATGAGAATACCAGAGCACCTTACCTGCCTCCTGAGAAATCTGTATGCAGGTCAAGAAGCAACAGTTAGAACTAGACATAGAACAACAGGCTGGTTCCAAATTGGGAAAGGAGTACATCAAGGCTGTGTATTGTCACCCTGCTTTTTAAACTTATATGCAGAGTACATCATGAGAAATGCTGGGTTGGATGAAGCACAGCTGGAATCAAGATTGCTGGGAGAAATACCAATGAACTCAGATACACAGATGACAGCACCCTTATGACAGAAAGTGAAGAAGAACTAAAGAGCCTCTTGATGAAAGTGAAAGAGCAGACTGAAAAAGTTGGCTTAAAACTCAACATTCAGAAAACTAAGATCATGGCATCCAGTCCCATCACTACATGGCAAATAGATGGGGAAACAGTGGAAACAGTGACACTTTATTTTGGGGGGCTCCAAAATCACTGCAGATGGTGACTGCAGCCATGAAATTAAAAGAAGCTTGCTTCTTGGAAGAAAAGCTATGGCCAACCTAGACAGCATATTAAAAAGCAGAGACATTACTTTGCCAACAAAGATCCATCTAGTCNCAAAGGTCCATCTAGTCAAGGCTATGGTTTTTCCAGTAGTCATGTATAAATGTGAGAGTTGGACCATAAAGAAAGCTGAGTGCCGAAGAATTGATGCTTTTGAACTGTGGTGTTGGAGAAGACTCTTGAGAGTCCCTTGGACTGAAAGGAGACCCAACCAGTCCATCCTAAAGGAAATCAGTTCTGAATATTCACTGGAAGGACTCATGCTGAATCGAAAACTCCAGTACTTTGGCCACGTGATGCAAAGAACTGACTCATTGGTAAACACCCTGATGCTGGGAGCAATGGAAGCCTGGAGGAGACGGGGATGACAGAGGATGATATGGTTGGATAGCATCACCAACTTGATGGACATGAGTTTGAGCAAGCTCCAGGAGTTGGTGATGGACAGGAAAACTTGGCATGGTGCATTCCATGGGGTCACAAAGAGTCGGACATGACTGAGTGACTGAAATGAACTGAACTGAGCTGAGGGCACAAAGAGGGGCTTCCCTGGTGACTCAGTGGTAAAGAATCTGTGGGCAATGCACAAGACCCACGTTCGATCCCCAGGTTGGGAAGATCCCCCTGAAAACGAAATGGCAACCCACTCCAGTATTCTTGCCTAGGAAATCCCATCGAAAGAGGGGCCTGGCAGGCTACAGTCTGTGGAGTTGCAGAGTTGGACATGACTTCGCGACTGAAGAAAGTTAAGGAAGGGATGAGGGCATAAAGAAGGCGTGTTTCCACCAGGGAACATAGTGATGGTCCTGTCGAATTGGAATCTGAGGCTTTTTTCTGGACATTTTGTCTTTCCATCATGCTGAGTCAACAGCCAGAGAAGGGGTCTGGGTGGGGCTACTGATAACAATTATCAGAATGAAAGAGGTTGCAACTACATGATAGTGGAAGGAGGACTGTGTTAAGAACTTAAGATGTTCCCTTGGAGCTTCTTATTAGACAGTTCATGAGAAAACCAACAATCCATTAAAGACCCACTAAAGAGTCAGATACCAGACAACAAAGGTATAAAGCCACCACACTAGGTAAAGAACCATATATAGCTGAGCTTCCAACAGAGGGCAAGGAACATGAAATTGGTGATAGAAGGAAGAAATGATAAATGTGAATTTGACTCTGTAACCAGCTACAAAAATGAAGACTGCCACAGGCCTGCACATTTTTCTTATATTTATATTACAAATAGAAACTTAATATATATAGTTATATACAAATGTATGTCTTTATATGTTAACCAAAGGAAATGTCAATCCACTCCAATATTCTTGCCTGGGAAATTTCATGGACAGAGAAGACTGGTGGGCTATAGTCCATGGGGTTGCAAAGAGTCAGATGTGACTGAGAGACTAGCACACGCACAATTATTTTCCCTATTTCTTTCTTCTACAATTTCTTTCTTAATGAGGAGTGGTTATTTCTTTTCTTTCCAATTTATATCAGAGTTCACCAAACTGAAGAGTCATGCACCATTCTGAGGGAGGAGACCTCATATTATCTGGGTTCTTGAACATGGGGAGAGAAATAATGTCAGATAGTAATTTGTGTTTCACTTTTTGAGAAGTGATTCTTTACTTGTACAAAAGTTAGTTGAATTCTGCAAAGTGGAAACATAAAGTTGTTTTATGAGAGTTAGGTATGGGTGGAAGGATGAGTATGGCCGTTTCAAGGCAGAATGGGTGGGTTGTGGTAGCCATCTGTCTGTCAACTTTTGGGTCTCTCATTTTTCTCATCTGCCCAATGCAGCAGTGACTAAAAATCCTCTTTGTTGTTTCATCTCATGCCAGGCAGCTCATACTAGGTTCTAACTCTTTCTGGACATCCTACAATTTTTTTTTCTTCAGTCCCAGGAGGGCTACTGTCTTCACTGAATGAATATATACATATAATTTAAAAGTCTACAAATAACAAATGCTGGAGAGAGGTGAAAGAAAAGGAACCCTCCTATACTATTGGTGGAGATGTAAGTTGTTGCAGCAGCTATGCAGAACAGTATGGAAGGTCTTTAAGAAACTGAAAATAGAGTTACCATATGACCCAGTAATCCCACTCATGGGCATATATCTGGAGAAAACTCTAATTCATAAAGATATGTGCACCCAGTATTCATAGTAACACTAGTTCCAATAGCTAAGACATGGAAACAACCTGAGTGTCCATTGACAGATGAATGGATAAACAAGATACATATATACATATATATCTTATTTTCTCCTCAACTCTTTTATCACTTATATACATCCAATCCCCTGTGTTAAATTCCCACTGTTTGAAATACCTGGAACAGTAGTTCTATTTTCCTAACTAGACCCTGACAATTGATAAAATGTGTATGCATGCATGCATGTGTGCATTTATGTGATATAAGTTCAGTTCAGTTCAGTTCTGTCACTCAGTCATGTCTGACTCTTTGCGACCCCATGAATCACAGCATGCCAGGCCTCCCTGTCCATCGCCAGCTCCTGGAGTTTACTCAAACTCATTTCCATCGAGTCAGTGATGCCATCCAGCCATCTCATCCTCTGTCATCCCCTTCTCCTCCTGCCCCCAATCCCTCCCAGCATCAGGGTCTTTTCCGATGAGTCAAGATATAAGTTAATTTATATAAAATAATATATAAGCATATATGTACAGGCACACATACATGTGTGTGTATATAATCATGTGGTGGGTATATAAATGCATATAAAGAAAATATTGAGTGATAGGTTTTCAAAGGGAGAGTATAGGAAGACTTTCAGTTTTCTCTCTATATTTAAAATTTCCTTATTAGTTTTTACAACAGATAACTTTGTAGTTTTAAAACACATTCTGAACTTATGGCTGTAGGTGGGAAGGAAGGGCAGAAGGGATAGTTAGGGAATTTGGGATGGACATGTACACTCTGCTATATTAAACATAGATAATCAACAAGGACCTACTGTATAGCACATGGAACTCTGCTCAATGTTATGTGGAAGCCTGGATGGGAGGGGAGTTTGGGAGAGAATAGATACATCCATTTGTATGACTGAGTCCCTTCATGTTCACCTGAAACTATCGCAACATTGTTAATAGGCTACACCCCAATACAAACTAAAAAGTTAAAAAAAAAAACTTCTTTTTTAATAACCCAATTTTCTAAGTAACTGTCTGCCCATCTGGTGGCAGCTTTAATGTCCTCAAAATTTTACATAAAGAGTAGATTAGTATAGTTGCACTGATTTCCCTTATCCATACCCATAGATTATCCCTTTCCTTAAGCAATATAAGAAATATATATCTAGCTGGATCAGTGAAAATGTTTCAGATTTCATTTTCTCCTGACAGATTCTATTTTGTCCAATGTGATACAAAAAAAAATACTTTCTCAAAATTCACACAAGATATGAGAACACTATATTTCCATCTGATGTCAATATATTCATTCTGTAACTGCTATATCCTATACTTTATGATTCAAAAAGAAAGGTGAGGAAAAGTATGAATATAACTGTGTTGGTGAATTTGTCATTTTACTAGTGATTATTTTTATGGTGCTAAAATTTGTCAAGTACTAATTTTTTGAAGACAAGACAAAATGATGCTTTTAAATTCAGCAACACCAAGGAAGGGCTATAAAATTACACTGACTGTCTAAGAAAGTCATAATTTTTAATAGCCCAATAGAGTTTGAAAGTGCCATTCTTAATACTATTAGATCCAAACTCATCCCAGCAGTATTCCGGTGACAAGATTTTAGTGGGTTTATGGAGGAAAAAATATTTGTTCAAGTGACTTTCATCATGCCACACTGCCTCAATGTTATTTTTCTTATCGTTCATGATTCCTCTGAAGCACTCCCTAGCAATATTGAGAACCTGAATAGGAGTACCACCAAAGACAGCAGCATGATAATAAAAGTCCCCCTTACCAATAGGTATATATGCTTCTGATGACTGACTCCTCTCATAAGGTAACTCTGAAGGACTTGCCTTATACCAATGAGCATGTAACTGACCTACTGACTCCCCCAGAGTCTCCAGTCCATATTTTTTTACAAAGATTTGATCCACATCCATGCAAAAGAGGAAGTCAACTTCATATTGGATGTGATCCACAACATGTTCACTGATGATCTTCATGCGCATCATACTGATGTCTTGCCATCTCTTCTCTCGCTTTATTTGAAAAATTTTCAGCATTCGGAGGGGAGCCAGCTCTACCCAGGGCACCTGAGAGAAGTTATCTACCAGGATGTAAATGATGACTTTCTGGCCAACCATAAAATATTTGTCAGCTGATGTTATAAATGTATACAAATAACGGTCTGTGTATCTGTGAAGTAAATAAGAAGCAATTAAGTTTATCTTCTTGTATGTTAGTGAAACACATACTATTTAAATTACACTTACTGTAGTTTTCTCGAAAATGCTACTAAGGAACCAAACATTAGATATGCTTCTTGAGTTGTATTTAAGTAGTGTAAAAGTGAAATTGTCTGCCTTTCCTCTCCCTGGTGAGGTTTTATGGATCATAGGAGAAAAGAGGAATTTCTCATGAGAGGGAATGAAACTTGGTGAGATCAGAAAACTGAACCGTGCCCAGCACAAAACAAAAGCCTGAGTTTTCAGGGTTATCAGAGCAGTTGGGACTTGTTTTAGAGATTGTAGGCAGGAAAGGTCATAGGTCATTGCAAGAGCAGTTATTGATGCCTGTGGCTTACTTAGAGTAGTTAATTATGCATAAAAAGTCAGAGGTGACATGCTTTGTATCCACTGTCAGCACTGGGTTTCTTATTTTGCCCTATGCCCTTTAATATGCTGCTAAGATTGCTGGACTGAAGGAAAACTTTCTCATTTCCAATCTCTCCAGCCAGTTAAGGATTCTTGTAGTAATAAATGGCCTCAGGTGAATTCAAAAAAGAAAAGGTAATATATGTGACTAGTTCAAATGATGTTTATATGATCATCAGAAATAAGTTCTGGATATTGATCAGAGCCTTAAGAAATACAACAGATGGAGTCAGGAGAAAACTCTCTAGTTTGGAGTATCTAAAATTATTAGGTACATTATGGAAAAATATCACTTAAAATATTATATTGAGCTGGAAGCTAGCAACTCAAATCCAAAGTCCATATTTATCCATATTTCTTTTATGGTTAGTGCTTTTGTGTCATACTTAAGGAATCTTTGCCCCCTCAAAGTAGTGAAAATGTTCTCCTATGTGTTTTTCTAGTAGCTTTATTGTCCCATCTTTCATATTTAAGTCTATTATCCATTTGGGTTAATTTGTGTGTGTGATGTGATATGGGGCTTTTTGCATCAGTCTCTGACTACTGATACTGATGTTATCGGCTAGGAGTGCCTGGGGGCACTCGCTGGAGTCCCTACTACTTCTGGTGAGACATCCCTACTTCCCACCAGACATCACCAGAGCCTACGTTATGGCTGGACCAGTCTTTGTCATTCTTACTATAATTTCAAGGAGCACCTCAACAACAACCATAAGGAACTTTGAGAAAATAAGCTTTATTAATCACAAATCCTAGAGGATACGTGGCATGCCTGGGGCCACACAGTGAGGTCACAAGTTGGAGGTGGTAGGAGAGAGAGAGAAACACGAAGGACCTAGGGTTCTGCCTTTACTGGGTTGAGGGTGGGGTGCCTAGGGTTTTGCGAGTTCACTCTATTGACAAATTTTAAATGTAAAAGCGGAAGTTAAAGCAAGAGAGGGGGAAAAACGGGGTCATGCTAGTGGTCATTTATGTAGATCAGATCACTCAGGACTTTCTAAAAGGAAGATTTCATGGGTAGGGTGACTTGGCTCTTTATCTAATTGTTTAGCTAGTAAGCAATATTTTCATTTGAGATGGATGTCTTTAAAGTGGATATCTCAGGGGATTCCCTGGTGGTGCAGTGGTTAGGACTCTGCCCTTTTATGGCACAGGGCCCAAGTTTCCTCCCTGGTCAGGGAACTAAGATCCCACAAGCTGTACAGTGTGGCCAATGAAAAATAAATACAATGGATGTCTCAGCAATCAATCCAAAGCTTAATATCAGGCATTTACAATTAAAAAAAAACTTACTTTCACTACAATGGCAAACATTTTTCCCCCAATTTTTAAAATACTTTCTATGTTGGAATGCTATTAGACTTACTACACTGGATCTTAGCAAGGCCTGCTTCCCAGTTGGTGCTAGTGGTAAAGAACCTGCCTGCCATTACAGGAGACTTAAGAGATGTTGGTTCAGTCCTGGATTGGGAAGATCCCCTGGAGAAAGAAATGGCAACCCACTCCAGTACTCTTGCCTGGAAAATCCCATGGACAGAGGAGCCTGGCAGGCTACAGTCCATAGGGTCGCAACGAGTCAGACACAACTGAAGCGACTTAGCATAGCATTAGATTTACAGAAAAGTTGCAGATATATTACAGAGTTCCCACATATGCTCTACCCACCTTCCCCTAATAGTAATATATTATATAACCATAGTACATTTGTCAAAACTAGGAAATTATCAGTGGTAAAATACTATTAGCTAAATCACAGAGTTTATGTGATTTTCACCAGTTTCTTCCCTAATGACTTTTTCAGTTTCCAGGATCCAATCCAGAACACACACTGCATTCAGTCACTAGTCTCTTCTAGTCTCCCTAGTCTCTTCCATTCTGTCAATTTCTCTTCTTGTTGGGTCATGACCCTGACCACATATTTTGTAAAATAGCCTTCAGTTTGGGTTTCTCTGATTTTTCCTTAGGTGAAGTTAATTTTAAGCAGTCAGACTTATCAGGCTCTTCCTTTATGATTAGTAGTTTCCATGTCTTGATTAAGAAATCCTTTTCTATCCTGAGTTCATGAAGATATAGTTTGTCTTTTAACTATTGGTCTTCAAACTACCTAGTAATTGATGTTTGTATGTTTGTACATGATATGCTATAGAAGTACAATTTCAGTTTTCCTGTGTTGACATTGATTTTCTCCAACATCATTTATGAAAGTCTTTCCCTACAGGTCTACAGTGCTATTGCCAATGAATAGAAAGTCTTCAATATTTGCATGGTATTTTTCTGTTTTATTTTATTGGCTTAATTGTTCATTCCTGTAGCAGATATTCATGTTGAAAATTTCCGTATAGACACTTTAAATCGATCCTCCTAGTTTCAGCCCCACCTATACTCCTCTAATTTCAGAGGAAATTGATGCCATTTATTCCCGAGCTTTCAGAGGTTCTTTAAAAGAGAGTGGGGGGTTCATGGTGAGGTTAATGAAGCTGTGGTTTCAGCGCCCCTTCCCTTAAAAGTACCCTTCCAAGACTCTGTGTTCTATTCAGGAGGGTGTAGGGAGGAATCAGAAACTCCATCTGTGTCCTGAAGGTAGAAGCACTGCCCCAGAATGTGTTCACTCCCCAGGATCTTGTTACAGATCCTGGGGCAGCAACTTGAAGAGACCACAGTGAGTTCGGGAGGAGATCATGGGAAACTTCTTCAGTAAGGAGTCTTCCCTCCCTTTTCCCTTTCTTCCTCTTTCTGTGTTCTTTTTATTAAACAATAAATTACTATCAATATTTAATAGCAAGTTGCTATAAAGCTGATAACTTTATCATTTTAATGAGTGATAAGTATTGTTCAACTTAATACTTTTTCGTACTCTTTTTGGTATGATTTTTATATCAAGGCAGCATTTGCTTCATAAAATGATTTCTAGTCTCTTTTCCGAAAAAGATTGTGTAGAATTGATGTTAATTTTTCTTTAAATATTTGGTAGAATTCTCTGATGAAACTATCTCCGCCTAAGGACTTTGAAAATGAAAGTCCTTTCTTTGTGACCCCATGGACTATATACAGCCCATGGAATTCTCCAGGCCAGAATACTGGAGTGGGTAGCTGTTCCCTTCTCGGGATTATCCCAACCCGGGGATCAAACCCAGGTCTCCCGCATTGCAAGCAGATTCTTTACCAGCTGAGCCACCAGGGAAGCCCCTTTGGGAGTTTTGAAAATTATGAATTCTATTTCCTCAATAGTTATAGGGTTATTAAAATGATCTGTTTCATGTTGGGTGAGTTGTGGTTGTTTGTGCTTTTTAAGGTCCATTTCCTCTAAGTTGTCAGATATGTAGAGAATTTTTATAGTGTTTCCTTATTATCCTTTTAAAGTCTACAAGGTCTAAGGTGATATACGCTGTTTCTTTCCTGATATTTGTAATTTGCATTAATTTTTTTCTTGGCTAGTCTTCCTGGGTGATTATGGATTTTATTGGGTTTTTCCCCCCCAAAGAACCACATATTTGTTTCATTGATTTTTCTCTGAGACTTTTCTGTTTTCAATTTCATGGATTTCTGCTCTCACCTTTATTACTTCCTTATTTCTGCTTTCTTCTGTTTTATTTTGTTCTACTTTTTCTAAATTCTTGAGGTAGATTATTGATAATCTCCCATTTTCTAAAATAAACACTTGAATATAAAGGTCATTCAGCAATACCTACCTTCCCACAGCAAACACAGTCAACCCCACGGTAATTTTATGACTTGCATAGTAATTTTCCAGCACCACTTCATCATAAGTGCCATGCCACACAACTGGAGCTGCCCAGCTGGTAGTTACGTTTGAGCGATTTACAGCACTGTAAGGAAGATATAAGAATTATGAGCAAAGTACTTTTTAATAAAATTCTAGTAGATATTGCTAATGTATAAAGCCTATGTCTGATTGCAGCGTTTCCTTATTTCTAACCCAGAGCCTTGATGGCATGATAAACTGAAGAAACAGTTTATCAGAAATGGCTCAGTTCAATTCAGTACAGTCGCTCAGTCGAGTCTGACTCTTTGCAACCCCATGAACCGCAGCACACCAGGCCTCCCTCTCCATCACCAGCTCCTGGAGTTTACCCAAACTCATGTCCATTGAGTCGGTGATGTCATCCAACCATCTCATCCTCTGTTGTCCCCTTCTCCTCCTGCCTTCACTCTTTCCCAGCATCAGGGTCTTTTCCAACGAGTCAACTCTTCCCATCAGGTGGTCAAAGTATTGGAGTTTCAGCTTCAACATCAGTCCTTCCAGTGAACACCCAGGACTGATCTCCTTCAGGATGGACTGGATGGATCTCCTTGCAGTCCAAGGGACTGTCAATAGTCTTCTCCAATACCACAGTTCAAAAGCATCAGTTCTTAGGTGCTCAGCTTTCTTTATAGTCCAACTCTCACATCCATACATGACCACTGGAAAATCCATAGCCTTGACTAGACGGACCTTTGTTGACAAAGTAATGTCCCTGCTTTTTAATATGCTGTCTAGGTTGGTCATAACTTTCCTTTCAAGGGGTAAGCATCTTTTAATTTCATGGCTGCATCATGAGGGTTAGATCATTACAAAAGTACATGTACTGATTATATTGTTATTCCAAGATCTTTGAGGATGCATAGTTGAAATGTCACCCAAAGCCTAAAATAACAATTTCTCTTACAGTTGGATAAGATCTACCGTCTTAAGCTTTGGACATTGATTCTTTTCAGCAGCAATATTTTTAAAAATGAACTTCCCAGTTTTCATAATCTGAAATGCTGCCAGTATTAATATTGTTGCATACTGTCAGAATCAACTTTGTCAGAACTTTGGAAGATAGCCAAATATTTAGAGCAACCAAGCAAAAGTTGTCTCAAAGAGAAAAAAAAAAAAAGACTCAATATGGTAGGACTAGAAAAACTCTGACATATTTTAACCCAGCCTTGCACCAACTCTCTTCCTAGTATAACAGTGTTATTGAAAAGACAAAACCATATTATGTTCTCAGTGTGGGTATCTGATTCAGCGGGGAGAAGAGTGGATCTAATTCCCAGGGATTGTGTTTATCTTTTTAACCTATCTGAGAGTTCCTTGAAGGATTGACTCATAGTGCTTTTTTTCTTATACTTAACATTCTTTAAGAATTGAAGGGGAGGATATTCCTTGAAAAAAAAAAATTGTAAAAGAACAAGCCCCTTCCACCTGAGTCAAAAGATTTCAGTTAAAATAGACACTATATATGTTGAAAGCCTGGGGAGGAAACATTTAAAAGACAGTTCTTTGGGAAGTAAGGGCTTTGACAAGATCCCATGTGTCAATCAGACACACACAGAACAAGGAACTGAGAAATCCATGCACATGTTCAGGGCAGAATGAATGTTCAGAAAAGATCTGTGAAGATCTGAGGCTTTCACCCCTGACTGATATTTAGGTTCAGTGCACACAAGAAGTGAACGCTAGGGCAGAGTTAAACAACTGGGCTGTGCTGAAGGAGGGCCCAAATAGAGAGCCAGTCTTTAAAGGATGCAAGTGTTTTCTTCTGTTTTATTTTCCTTTCTTCTCTGTTTTTTTCTTCTTCTCCTTCTCCTCCTCCTTCACTTCCTCTTCCTCCTCCTTCTGCCCTCTAACACCACCCTCTCTCAGGTTTTAGGCACTTTAAGGAAATCTCTGTCAAACAACTAGCTGGCCACAAACTAAGGGTAGCTCAGAGACTTCTGAGACCAAACAAGACAAAGAATACAGTCTTTAAAAAAATAGTTTAGAAAAACCACTTACAAACAACCATAAAAAAGAAAGATCTCACATTAATAACCTCAGCTTCCACCTTAAGGGGTAAAGGGGGAAAACTAGAAAAAAATGGAAAAACAAAACCAAACAAACAATAGCAAATAAGAACAGTGAACTTTGAGGAGGCAAAACTATCTGATTTTCAGAGAATCTATATTATAACACTCAAAATGTCTAGTTTTTAACCAAAATTTAAGAGTGATCAAATGAGGAAGAATGTGCAGCCCATTCACAGGAAAACAAATTAATGAGAACTGTCTAGATATTGACCGAGTTTTTCTAAGAAGACTTTAAATCAATCATTTGAAATATGCTTAAAGTGCTAAAGGAAGCCATGGACAAAGAACTAAAGGAAACCAGAAGAACATTGTCTCAACAAATAGAGAATACTACTAAAGATACAAATTACAAAAACAAATGAAATAGAAATACTGAAGTTGAGAAGTGTATAGCTGAAAGGAAAAAATTCACTTTAGGATGTCAACAGAAGATTTGACCAGGCAAAAGAACAAATCAGACACACACAAAATGCTTCATCCAACAACAGTATACATGTCCTTCTCAAATACACATGGAATATTCTCCAGTATAAATCTCATGTTAGACCATAAGACAAATCTCAATAAACTTAAAGTGACTGGAAACATACAAACTATCTTTTCCAATGATAATGGAATGAAATTAGAAATCAGTAACAGATATAAGTCTAGAACATTCATAAACACCTGGAAATTAAACAACACACCTAGGCAACCAATGTGCCAAAGGAAAAAAATCATAAGGGAAAAAAAACAAAAACAAAAAACTCCAAAATCATGAGGAAATTAGAAAATAAATTGAGATAAATAAAAATGAAAACACAACATGCTAAAACTTATGGGAGACAGAAAATCAGTACTCAGAAGGAAATGTATAGCTGTAAACATCTATATTTAAGTAAAGGAAGATCTCATATTAGTAATCTCACATTCTACCTTAAGGGGAAAAAAGGGGAAAACTGGAAAAAAGGGGGAAAAACAAAACCAAAGCCAACAAAAGGAAGAAATAATAAAGACTGGAGTAGAAAGAACTGAATAGAGAAAAAAGATGATAGAATCAATGAAACCAAAAGTCAGTTCTTTGCAAAGATTAATGAAATTGGCATACCTTTAGTTAAACTGACCAGGAAAAAATCAGAGATGACTCAAATGATTAAATCAAGAACGGAAATGGGGACATTATTATAGACCTTATAGATGAAATGGATAAATTTCTAGAAACACACAAACTACTAAAACTGGTTCAAGAAGAACTAGAAAATCCTATAGACCTATAACAAGGAAAGGTAATTGAAAATCTCCTAACAAAGAAAGCCCAGGATCAGATGGTTTAACTGTTGAATTCTACCAAACACTTAAAGAATTAACACCAACTATATTTTCAAAGTCTTCCAAAGAAATAGAACTTTATAACTCATTCTGCGAGGCCAATATTACTTTGATGCCAAAGCCAAATAAAGACATCTCAAGATCAACATCACTAGTCATTAAAGAAATGTAAATCAGAACTATAGCAAGATATTTCACACACACTAGAATGGCCGTAACATAAGCAAAAACAAACACACCCCCAGCAAAACAAAAAATAGCAAGTGTTGGAAAGGATGTAGAGAAATTGAAACACTCATACATTGTTGATGGGAACATAAAATGATGCAACTGTATGGAAAAGAGTTTGGTGGTTTCTCAAAAAAGTTTAACATAGAATTACCATGTACCCAGTAAACCCACTTATAGATATATACCCAAGGGAACTGAAAGTATGATTTCAAATTAAAACTTGTACATGAATGTTTATAGCACCATTACTTATAATAGCCCCAAAGTGGAAACGACTCAATGTCCATTTACTGGTGAATGGATGTGTGGCATGTCCATACCATGGCGTACTACTCAGCTATGAAAAGGAATGAAATACTGATATATGCTACAGTATAGATGAATCTTGAAAACATGCAAAGTGAAGAAGTCAGACATTAAAAAAATAACAAAACATCCTAGGCTCCATTCATAGGAAATGTCCAGAATAGGCAAGTCCAGAGAGATGGAAAGCAGATTAGTGTTTGTCAAGGAGCGGGGAATGAGAAGTTACTTGTTAATGGGCAGAGCTTCTTTTTTGCTATGATGAAGATATTCTGGAATTAGATAGCTAGAATTGTACATTTTTAAAAGATTTATTTACTTAAATTTTTGGTTGCGCTAGGTCTTGGTTGCTGCACAGGCTTTTCTCTATTTGTGGTGAGCAGGGGCTACTTTTCATTGTGGTGCATGAGCTTCTCATTGCAGCAGCTGCTCTAGGCTCTGTGGGCTTCAGTAACTGCAGCCTGTGGGCTCAGTAGTTATGGCCCATGGGCTTAGTTGATCTGCAGCACGTGGAGTCTTTGTGCACCAGGGATTAAACAAGTCCCCTTGCATTGCAAGGCATATTCCTAACTACTGGACCACTGGGAAAGCCCCAAAGTGTACATTTTTAAACAATTAAAATAGTGAATTTTATATTATGTGTATTCAAATCGATTTTTTAAAAAAAGACAATCCATGGTGTGGGATAAAGAGGAGAAGAGATATAAACAGGCAGTTTGCAAAAGTGAATGTCCAAGTGACCAATATTCATAAGAAAAGGTGTTCAGCCTTAATGATCATCAATGAAAAAAATGAAAAATGCAATGGGGATGGACATACAGCAAGAGAAAGATTCTATTAGCTGTTTCAGAGCTTGCTATGGACTGAATTGTGTCCTCCAGATTCGTGTGTTGAAGGTGTAATCCCAGTCTGAATATTTGGAGACAGGGCCTTTAGAGAGGTAATTAAGGTTAAACAGGACTTCCCCGGTGGTTCAGATGGTAAAGAGCCTGCCTGCAACGCAGAAGACCCGGGCTTGATACCTGAGTCGGAAAGATCCCCTGGAGAAGAGAATGGCAACCCACTCCAGTATTCTTGCCTGGAGAATTCCATGGGCAGAGGAGCCTGGCGGGCTACAGCCCATGGGGTCACAAAGAGTCGGACACGACTGAGCAACTAACAGGTTAAGTAAGGCTAAACGAGGTCATGAGGACGAGGCCAAAGCCAATAGGGCAGGAGTCCTCATAAGAAGAGGAAGAGACACCAGTATACACAGAGAAAAAGCCCTGTGAGGACACAGCAAGGAGACAGGCAGCTGCAAGGCAAGAAGAGAGACCTCAGAAGAAACCAGACTTGCCAACACCTTGATCTTCTATTTCCAGCCTTCAGAAATGGGAGAAAATAAATCTCTGCTGTTTAAACACCACCCCCCTCCCCAAAAAAAGGAATGGAGATCAAAACTTAAAAGTAGCCTATTTGGAATCTACTTAAACGATTATATGGTTTTCTCCTTTTTTCACCTGTTGTGATTGATCAGTACCTTGACTTATGAGGCTATAATTTACGTGTCTTGTTAGAGGGAGGTTGTGTCAGTTATTAAGCTATTGTCTCATAGTTAAACCCACCACAGTATACCCTGCTTTATTATGTTGAGCTGGGACACTGCAAATCACATTTCTCCTTTGCCAATGGGCACCCTGTTAGGCTCTAAGAGAGGGCATTGGAGGAAAATTACAAGGCTGGAGGAAGAAGAAACTTGCTCTTTTCTGTTTCCTGTGGGCTTCTTGTCTGCATCCTGTTCCTGCAAGTCCCATTCCAGCAATGCATCTTTACCACCACAATAGCAGTTCTTTTCCTGAGCAGTTGAATCCACCTTCCAGTTTTTCCAACACGTGCAAAACCAGTCTCGCTGTGCTCCCCCTTAGAAGGGCTGGTTCTCTGCCCCAAGAGGCTTCCCTAGAGCTCAGAGGTGAGCACACCAGTTGAGCTGCATCAGAGTTTATGCTCTGTGAGATTTGTCTCTAAGTTTTCAGTGTATAATAATTCCAGTCTCTTCCTTTTTTTCTTCAGAACCAGGGAAAATAATTACTTCCTATAACTGTTCCCTCTATGACACCTTAGAGTTGTATTTGCAGTTTTTCAGATTACCTAGTTAATGACTTTATGGGTGTCCGTAGGTGCTAAGTTGTTTTAGAAGTGTCTCACTCTTTGAGACTCCATGGACAGTAGCCTGCCAGGCTCGTCTGTTCATGGGATTCTCCATGCAAGAATACTGGAGTGTCATGCCCTCCTTCAGGGGATCTTCCCGACTCAGGGATCGAACTGACATCTCTGAGGTCTCCTGCATTGGCAGGTTTTTTACCACTATCATCACCTGTGAAGCCCCTTAACCACCATATAGTAATCAGCAATTGTTTATACTAAAATCTTTGTTTAAATAGTCGGTGTGCTTTGTATGATCTGATTAGATCTGACAAATGTAGTGATGTTATGGGAGGAAGAGTCATGGATCATTACCCAATAATTGGATGCCTCCTTTCAAAGTTTCAATTAAGAGAGGTCCTCAGATCTACAGCATGAAGGTGAAAAACAGGTGCATAGAGTAAGAAGATGGAGGCAAAGAGGCCAGAAGAAAGCTGTTGTATTAAAGCACGAAGTACACAGACAGCCCACCCACCTGATTTGGGCTTTGGTTCTCTCATTGGTGAAATGAGGAGGAACAACCAAATGATCTCAAATGTACCCTTACATTTTTGACTGTCCGTCATTCTAGGACCCATTGTGTTTCTATCATCTAAATTCTCATTCATGGAGGACTTAGGTCCTAATGTCCATTCCCAGTTGATCTCGGCTACTGCTTATTTTTTAAAATAACCATCAAAGATCCATCTGCTCTCCAACATTTGGAATGCCAGTCACAGTATTGTTGCCATCTGTTCATTTCTATTGAGCCGTCTATGGATTAATCTCACACATATTAGATTTGGAATTCTTACTTGGGAAAAAACCAGTCTGATAGCTTTAATTCTTCTGTTTGAGTATTCACAGACCTATCAGGAAAAATAATGCAGAGAGTCACATAATATGTATAGAGTTTGAGATGTATTATCAGATGTAAAATGCAAAATAAGCATGAAGCAGAAAATTAATAGTGAACTTTGATAGTTGTGGCATGGAAAAATCATGATTTCCACCCTCAGAGTAATTCTCTGTGCGTCCCAGGAGTCTTTATCTGTTCCCACAGTCCTCATTCTCATCTTCTAATTCACAGAGAAAATGGCAGAAGCTCCCTCAACTTTCTACAACCTCATCTGCAAATTTACCTGTAGTGCCTTCTACCACAATGAAAATATATTCGTATTTTCTAGGTAAGGCTAGCCTTAAATATCCTATCTGCTCAGCAGCCTTGATTTGATCATTATTCTTGGAAGGATTTTTCTTAAGTACTCTGTTTGATCAACTGACAGTCTTCTGGGCATTTTTCTGTGGCTTCAAGTTCTTATATATAAAGATACTTCTCCCATGAATGTAATACTAGTATATACAACTGAGTTCTAAAGTCTTGTACTTGAATTTTGCACAGATGCTACCAAAGGAAGATGTTTAATGTTAAAGTCATCATCTTTTCCCCAAAGTAGTTCCTCTTTGTATGTTGCCTTAACTCACTGAAACTGCTTGGATTTGCGTGGCAGAAATATGAGAGTCATTCTCCACTCAGAGCCCTTCTGAATCCCAACATCAAACCCACCATTAAACCCTGATGGTTTTACCTCCAAAACAACTCAAATCCATCCGTTATCTCCATTCCCTGCTACCACATGACTTCAGGTCAGTGTCATTCCTTGTCTGGGCTACTACCATAGCCTTCTTATTGGCCTCACTGTTCACTTTTTAAAAGTTTGTGTACCTTTGAAAAGGTACACAAATGTAAAGAGCACAATATAATGAACCTTCCTTCATGTTTCTATCCATGTAATTAGCGATGTGCTGCCTCTCCTTATCCCTGCATTTTACCTTTACAACTGATTCACGATACATTTCCACTCTGCTTCCGATAACATGTTCCTGAAGCTCCAATGTTACCAATCATTATTCTATTTAACAATGTCCAGTGGCCTCCCACTGTCCTAAGGATCATGTCCATATTCTTTACATAGCTATGATATTCTGTATGATCTGACCCTCCACACTGTTTCACCCACCTCTCCTACCTAGCCCCACATTGACAGTTTTCCAGACTCACTGGCCTTTTTTTAGTCCCTTAAATATGCCACAGGTTCCACCAGCTAATTCCCACATAGCATTTAGGTCTCATTTAAATATCCCTTCTTAAGGGGAGTATTCCCTAATCTGCCAGATACATTTAGATTTCTTTCATTAATCACTAATACTTATTGAATACTTTCCTAAGTATTATCTAATTCAATCCACTCCTATGAAATAAAGTGAAGCACAGAGAGCTTTTATTATCTTGCCCATAGTCACATAGTAGGTGAAAAGACCAACAGTCATGCCTGAGCCCTTATTCTTCCTCTTTCGTTAACGCTCTATGGCACTTTTGCTAAGATACCCTGGGAGAGCTGATTCTGGGCTGAGTTGAGGGGATTAGGCAGCTGTGGAGCTGAGTCATATGTCATGAGATTCTCTTTGTGCCTATGTACACAGATGGGTGTAACTGCAATGTTGGAATGTGGCTGAGATGTGACATTCTGCCAGGCACCGCTTCCATCAATAACAATGCCTTGGATGAGAAGTATTACTATGCTACAGCTATAGACTCCTGATGCTAAAGAGAGCTAATATTAATAATAGGATGATTGTTAGGTTGTATTGCACTGAATACATTTTGGCAGAAAGCATTTTAATCCATTCTTTCTCCCAGCATCTACTGTAGCAGGCTTTCCCACCTTTGCCTAGGATTTTCCTGCTTTTTTCAGGTGATGGAGAGTTCCAAAGCCCTGCTAGCCATGAGAAAACATACTCTGCCTGGTACATGAAAAGTTCTTTATTATTTTCTCATATAGCACAGCTTACTGAAGTATATGGAGTCTCGGTCTTAGTGGGGATGTTGCAGTCATGGAACCATGAGACAGACAAGGCCCCTGAACACAACAAGCAACATAAGGTAAAGTTGCTTCCACTTCACTATGTGTTCCCGCGAGCACAGGGAGAAGTGGAGGAACATCTTATGATACTGAATCTTGGACAAAATTTGAGGAAGTTTCCTCTCGGCACACATTCTGATGGCATGATTTTTCAGGTGGTATGTGATTAATACCTGGGAGTCTTTTAGCCAATACTCAACTCCCATGTGTTTCCCCAGAGCTTTAAAAGATCCAAGGTTCCTGTAGGCTAGCTTCTGGCTTCTGTAACATGCTTTCTCTAACCAGGTCTCATTCCTCTATCAGAGATAGCACTCTGCCAGTCTGCTCTCTTTGACTCCTGGTACTCCGACCTTAAACAAATATCTCCACTTGTAAATATCTTTGTTTGTAAAATTGCCTTGGTTTGCCCTGCCTATAGGTTTACCCTGCCAAGGACTTGCAGCTAGTCCATTGCCCTCCAGCTTATTTAGTCTTCAAAGAAGTCATAGCCTATTTGTGGATAAAGACTTACCAGCACTGATACATCCTCTGTAATTTCTTTGTGCTTAGGATAAATGAAAAGCATTGTATTAATTTCAAACTTATATAAAGGGTTTCCACATTTAATATGACTAGTGTTATTTCCCTGGGGCTTCCCTGGTGCCTCAGTGGTAAAGAATCTACCTGCAATGCAGGAGGCGTAGGTTCAATCTCTGGGTTGGGAAGATCCCCTGGAGGAGGGAATGGCTAACCACTCCAGTATTCTTGTCTAGAGAATTCCATGGACAGAGAAGCCTGGGGGGCCAGAGTCCATGGGGTCACAAAGTGTAGGACATGACTGAAGCAACTTAGCAAGCACACAGAGTTCAGTTCAGTTCAGTCGCTCAGTCATGTCCGACTCTTTGTGACCCCAAGAACCGCAGCACGTCAGGCCTCCCTGTCCATCACCAACTCCCAGAGTTCACCCAAACTCATGTCCATTGAGTTGGTGATGCCATCCAACCATCCCATCCTCTGTTGTCCCCTTCTCCTCCTGCCCTCAATCTTTCCCAGCATCAGGGTCTTTTCAAATGAGTCAGCTGTTCGCATCAGGTGGCCAAAGTATTAGAGTTTCGGCTTCAACATCAGTCCTACCAATGAACACCCAGGACTTATATCCCTATAAACCCATTCACTTTATTACCTAATTTTTTCATCTAATATTACCAAATATTTAATTAGCATGTAATGTTATATATGAAATATTTGCATACCGCTCAAATTCATATGTTGAAGTCCTAACCCCTAAGGTGATGGCATTAGGAGGTAGGGCCTTTGGGAGGTGATTAGATTGTGAGGATGCAGCCCTCATGAATGTGATTGATGTCTTTGGGAAAGAGACCCCATGGCAGAGATTTTTCTGCTATTGAAGTACACATTGGGAAGATGGCTGTGTGTGAACTAGAAAGTGTGTCCTCAACAGACACCAAATCTGTTGGTGCCTTGATCCTGGGCTTCTCAACCTCTAGAACTGTGAGAAATTTCTGTAGTTCGTAAGCCAACCAGTCTATGGAATTTTGTTAAAGTAGCTTAACTAGACTAAGACACACACTAGGTGCCAAATACATTGTTGGTTATAGCAATACAGTAATAAACATGATAAAAATCATTGCAATTAGGACTGCACGCTATATCTGGAAAAAAAAAAAACAAAGTAATTATTTGAGATACAAATGACAGAGAAGCTTGCTTAATAACATTTAAACAATGACATTTGTGGGAATTCCCTGGTGGCCAAAGGTTAGGACTCTTCTTTCACTGCTGAAAGCCATGCAGCACAGCCAAAGGAACCAAGCAAAAGAAAAAACAATGAAATTTCCTAATTGCCAATGAAATCTCTCTACTTGCTCAAATATATGGAGGACAAATACCACACTTAATGTGTGAAGTCACCAACATTAGGGACTTTTTTTTTAATGTCACCCATGCAAAAATAGCAGTTTACAACATATACTAACATTACACTGTCATTAATTACACGGTAACTGTCTTGGTACTTTAACATTGCTTCTCCATGCTCATATGGACCTACAAAAATTACATGAACTTTGATCACGTTAGAAACAAAGAACTTTTATGCTGAAGACTATGTTTATGCTAATATATTTGGATATAATTGGGTATATTTGGATCAATATATTTGGATGATGATTCATTCAGGGGGAGAGTTTATCACCTTTCTGAATACACTAGATCCTTTACCAACATCAGAATAAAATATCGTTAATTTTTTAAAGTTACCTGAAATGAAACATTCTCTGAAAGGTCCACAGAAACAATAAAAATAATAACAATTGAATTGTTTTCCTTTGGTATCTCATTCTTTCCTGGGAGTAAAAAGAAACAGATAAAACTAGATTAAATAAAGCAGAGTGTACACAGAGTATGCTGTGTTGAATCCTGCTTTTCCATGACTGAAACTGTAGTAAACGAGGTGATAGACATTGGCTGGGGTGTCAGGAACCACTGATCCTTGGATATCTCCCCATATGAAAATAGAGTGAAGTCAGTAGAAACATAATTTGAGCTAGCTGCCCAAAGACTTAGGACATTAGCTGGCCTAAGCTGGCCTTAATACAAGAGATCTTAAAACTTATGTCTTTTCTAAAGGACAAAAGGCTTTTCCTACAGAAACGGAAAGCATCAAAGCCACTTCCAAGCCTAGCTCACAGGGTGGGTGTCAGAGAAAGGGACTGTTATGAAAATACTTAATTGGACTCTAAAGAGTTGTATAGTTAAGGAATTAATTATTTTAATTGAACAGTATTATGAAGATCATTCTGAGAAAGGTGATAGAACCAATAACAGCATAAAATATATTCTCTTTCTCGAAAGTATTTGAATATAAAATTGATTCAGACCACTAGCTGGTGGCCAAACTATCATTTTTCGATCATTTGTATACTGACCTTAGAATTTGAGCCAAGTTTACAAAACTCCTTTGTGATACTTAATCTAAGGAATATGAAATCCTCTGTGTCCAGAAAAGGAACTAGATATGGCTCAATGGTTGACATGAAGGACAAACTCTTACCTTTTGTTTTACAAAGATTACACAGGAATTTTATATAGCTCTTCTCAGAGACAATGTTTATGGTATAGTGGTTTGGGAATTCATGTAGAGAATCCTAAGAGAGTAGAGAGTTTTCAGGTAGAACATTTTGAGATCTTTGAAAAATCGTGAATCAGATAACCTAGTATTGGTTCTGTGATGCCCTCCAGTTTGTGTGTTTATTATTTCAGACTTCTGTGATTGATGATGTCATCAAATTCCCTCTTGGTGATGAAAGAATCAGACATTGTTACCATAACAATTTATATGCCAGTAGTTTCTCTTTGTCATTACCAGGGGACTAGATTTTGTCCAACTAAAAAAAATGACTTGTTTCTTTCTTTCCTTGGGGATTTTTTTAAAGGTTCATAATACAGTTTTAACTGGTGTATAATTTAAACAAAGTAAAACACACGCAACTTAAGTGTACAGTTCATTAGATTTGTAACAAATGTACATGTGTATGTAAAAACTTCTTTAAGATATAGAACATCTCCATAACCCCCAAAACGTTTCCTGTGCCCCTTGGAGTCACTACCCTCCCACACCCAGGAAACCAGTTTTCTGATTCTATTACCATAGCTGAGCTAGTCCTGCTGTGAAACTTCACATAAATAGAATTGTACTGATTCACTTGTTGTATTCGGCTTTTCTCACTCCAAAATTTTGCAACTCGCCAAAGTTACTGTGTGTATTTCACACCATAATTCAACGTGAATTACAGATCTAAGCATAAAAGCTAAAGCCACAAGTTTTCTTAAAAAATTAATTTACTTATTTTAACTGGATGCTAATTACTTTACATATAGTAGTGGTTTTTGCCATACATTGACATGAATCAGCCATGGGTTTACATGTGTTCCCCATCCTGAACCTCCTCCCTCCTCCCTCCCCATCCCTTCCTTCTGGGTTGTCCCACTGCACCAGCCCTGAGTACTCTGTTTCATGAACTGAAGTTGAACTGGAGATCTATTTCACATATGGTAATATACATGTTTCAATGCTATTCTCTCAAATCATCCCACCCTCGCCTTCTCCCAGAGTCCAAGAGTCTGTTCTTTATATCTGTGTCTCTTTTGGCTGTCTTGTATATAGGGTCATTGTTACCATCTTTCTAAATTCCATATATATGTGTTAATATACTGTATTGGTGTTTTTCTTTCTGACTTACTTCACTCTGTATAATAGGCTCCAGTTTCATCCACCTCATTAGAACTGATTCAAATGCATTCTTTTTAATAGCTGAGTAATATTCCATGGTGTATATGTACCACAGCTTTCTTATCCATTCGTCTGCCGATAGACATCTAGGTTGCTTCTATGTCCCAGCTATTATAAACAGTGCTGCAACGAACATTGGGATACATGTATCTCTTTCAGTTCTGGTTTCCTCAGTGTGTCCACCCAGCAGTGGGATTGCTGGGTCATATGGCAGTTCTATTTCCAGTTTTTTAAAGAATCTCCACACTGTTCTCCACAGTGGCTGTACTAGTTTGCATTCCCACCAACAGTGTAAGAGGGTTCCCTTTTCTCCACACTCTCTCCAGCCTTTATTGTTTGTAGACTCTTTGATAGTGGCCATTCTGACTGGTGTGAGATGGTACCTCATTGTGGTTTTGATTTGCATTTCTCTGATATGAGTGATGTTGAACATCTTTTCACATGTTTGTTAGCCATCTGTATGTCTTCTTTGGAGAAATGTCTGTTTAGTTCTTTGGTCCATTTTTTGATTGGGTCATTTATTTTTCTGGAATTGAGCTGCACGAACTGCTTGTATATTTTTGAGATTAATTCTTTGTCAGTTGCTTCATTTGCTATTTTCTCCCATCCTGAAGGCTGTCTTTTCACCTTACTTATAGTTTCCTTCGCTGTGCAAAAGCTTTTAAGTTTAATTAGGCCCCATTTGTTTATTTTTGCTTTTATTTCCATTACTCTGGGAGGTGGGTCATAGAGGATCCTGCTGTGATTTATGTCAGAGAGTATTTTGCTTTTAGAGAAAAGCATAGGAGAATATCTTTGTAATTTGGGGGTAGATAAATGTCCCTTAGGTGACAAAACAACAGCTGAAAAAATGATAAAGTATGCTTCATCAAAATTAGAAAATCTTTGGTTCATTATAATACATCATTCAAAAAAAAGGATAAGGAAGCCATTACTGTTCACCAATGGTTTACAGTTACCTGAAATAATGCAAACATGATTCAGGGCTTCCCTGGTCGCTCAGATGGTAAAGAATCTGCCTGCAATGTGGGAAACCCAGATTCACTCCCTGCGTTGGGAAGATCCCCTGGAGCAGGGAATGGCTACCCACTCCAGTATTCTTGCCTGGGAAATCCCATGGACAGAGGAGCCTGGAGGGCTACGGTCCATGGGATCTCAAAGAGTCGGACACGACTGAGTGACTAACACTTGGTAAGTTGATGCTTCTGAATTGTGGTGCTGGAGATGACTCTTGAGAGTCCCTTGGACAGCAAGGAGATCAAACCCATCAATCCTAAAAGAAGTCAATCCTGAATTTTCATTGGAAGGACTGATGCTGAAGCTGAAGTTCCAGCATTTTGGCCAGTTGATGCAGAGTCAACTCATTGGAAAAGACCCTGATGCTGGGAAAGATTGAAAGCAAAAGGAGAAGAGGGTGGCAGAGGATGAGATGCTTTGATGGCATCACCTATTCAATGGACATGAATTTGAGCAAATTCCAAGAGATAGTGAAGGACAGGGAAGCCTGGGATGATGCAGTTCATGGGGTCACAAAGAGCTGGACATGACTAAGCAAATAACACTTTCACTTTATACATGATTCATGTACTAAATAAAAGCCATATCAATGTTAGAGATTTTCTGTTGATTTCAGTTCTTACTAGGAGAAAAAAAGAAGGTGGTGAAGGAGGATAACTAAGTTAAATTAGTGCAGAATTAGAATCTCTTTTGGATCACAACCGAATAGGTTATACCAGACTAATGCTCCCATATATTATATAACAGTCATATACTCTGGGTTAAATTTAAAGAAAAAGTTAAATAAAACTATCAATATCTGAAGGTAAATGAGAGGGACTAAAAATATGCCAATCCTTGAAAGGAGGGAAGTGTATTGGGTAAAATTCACATTTATACAGCTTTTCATTTGAAGTTATCCCTCAATTCACGTAGAGCTAGTTGGCTAGAACTCACACAGAAAGACTTGAAGAGTCAGAGGATAGAGTTGTAAAGTGGGCTGAAAAGCATAAGGAAATCCCAGAAAAAGGGATACACAGAATGAGGTACCCCAAAGTTGGCATAAAAACTCTTACCGAAACCTTGGGTGACAATTTAAGTGTCCATGCATAGGAAAGACTTTAGTTTCCCCAGGAAATAGCAACATTTACAAGGCTATAAAAATTGAGTAATTTCAACTGATGCCTCCTGCAGTAGAAATAGGTTTTGGAATTTAGGTCCAGATCAGTTAACTAACTGTCCAAACAAAAATCAGCACTCTACAGAGGGAAATAACAGATCCAGAACCTCTACATGTCATCCATAATGCCAGATATATATTTTTAAAAGGTTACTAGGCATGCAAAGAAACAGGAATATGTGACACATACTGACAAGAAATGAACCCCAATATAACTCAAACACTGGAAATGGTAAATAAGGATTTTAAAGCAACTTTTGTAAAAAAAAAATGTTTGAGAATTTAATGGACAACTTGTTCAAAATGAATGAACAGATAGCAATCAGTAAGTGAATGAAAGCAATTAAAAACTAGAATTTTAAAAGTACTATATTTGAAATAAAAAAGTTAGGGGGTAGACTTACAAAGAAATTGAACACTGTAGAAGGAAAGGTCAATGAAATGAAAAGTAAATCAGTGTTAATCATCCATTGTGAAAAAGAGAGGAAATTAAAATTTATTTATGGTTAAACTGTACTCAGAAGTTACCTTCACTACTCACATAGGGAAGTTTCTGGATTCTCTCTTTGCGAGAACCTCTCCAAGCTGGGGGCCGTCAGGTGGAGGGAAAAAAGGTGGTGGTAGTGGAACTAGGGGATGCGATGCTCTTTAGTTGGACAAATAGGGTGGTGAGGCATGAACAGGTATAATAATATTATGAAACCTATTTTAAAGCTCATCTCCATTCAAGAATTGTTTTAGATGGCTTACAATTAAGAAGGTGTGGTTGCAATAAACAGGGAAACAATATAAGAAGAATAAACAAGAACAGAAAGAGACATTTATTTAGTCACTCAGGTACGTATTTTCACATAACATTGTTCATCCAGGAAGGTACTTTCACATGACATTGTTCATCCCAGTCACTACATGAGAATAAATGTTTTACCTTTATTTTTATTTACATTTAAAGTAAAGTACTGATAGGGAGAGACTTAACTTCTGTCATTTTGCTATTTGCTTTCTATACGCCTTATAGCTTTTTTGGTGTCCCTTATTCCCTGCATTACTGTCATCTTCTGTGTTTAGTTGATTTTTCAATAGTGAAGTATTTGAGATTATTTCTCATTTCCTTTTGTATGCATTCTATAGCTATTGTCTTTGTGGTAATCTTGGGGTTTGCATTTGACATCCTGATGTTATAGCACTCAAATTAGACTTTATACCAGCTTGACTTCATAAACACACCAAAGTTGTGTCTGATTCTTTGCAACCCCATGGACTGTAGCCCACCAAGTTGCTCTATCCATGGAATTCTCCAGGCAAGAATACTGGAGTGGGTAGCCATTCCCTTCTCCAGGGGATCCTCCTGAGCCAAGGATTGAACCTCAGTCTCCAGCATTGCAGGCAGAATTTTTCCCACCTGAGCCACCAGGGAAGCCCAGACACACCAAAGCTCTGTCCCTTTTCAGCTCTGTCCTCACCCCTTGTGGCAGTTGATGTCATGAAATTACACATCTTTGCACATTGCGTGCCCCAAAACATAAACTAATAATACTTTTAAATTTATTAGTCTCTTAAATTATGTAGAAAACAAAATTTGGAGTTACAAATCAAAGTTATAATAATAATACTAGTTTTTAGACAGGCAATTTAAAAAAATATGTATATATATTTGTCTCTTTAATAATGTAGAAAACAAACCAAAGTTATAATAATAATAGTTTTTAGACAGGTAATTTTTGAATATATATATATATATATATGTCTCTTTAACAATGTAGAAAACAAAAAGTGGAGTTA